GAGTCCTGATAAATTCTGCCTATAAAATTATATGTTCAGGGATCTAGGTTTTATTACCATGGATCACTTTCAAATTTGTAGAATCTTGCCAAGGATGAGTATGAGAACAACTTTGTGTCAGCAGTCGTTCCACAAGGTGAAATCGGAGTCAAATTTGATGATATCGGTGCTCTTGAAGAAGTAAAGAAGGCATTGAATGAACTTGTAATCCTACCAATGCGGAGACCAGAGCTTTTCTCCCGTGGAAATCTGTTGCGGGTATTTTATTCTTCATGCTAGAAATTCCTCTTAAAAAATAAAAATAGGACGTTTTAGGTACTGTTTAGTTATTTTATCTTTTTCTTAATCAGCCTTGCAAGGGGATTTTACTCTTTGGGCCTCCTGGAACTGGAAAAACTCTTGTTGCTAAGGCTCTTGCAACAGAAGCTGGGGCTAATTTCATCAGTATTACTGGTTCAACCCTTACATCAAAGGTGAGTTGAGAAAAGGACTCCTTTTTGTTTTCAAATCATTAGATCTTGCTGGGAAATCTCCTGTTAGGTACTTTGTCTGGTGATTTTTGTTATCAATTATCATCAGAAAATATTAAATTCTTATTTAGATTAGAGCATAACTCAGATGTGAACATATTTTTATACTAAAAAGAAAAAAGGTTTTTTCTCAAATATATATATAGCCCAACACAATACATTGCACCCATGTAGCCATATTTTCAGTTTACACCCACATAGCCAACTTTTTCCGCAATAATGTTTATACACCTAGTAAACAATATTGTGAGTAATATTGGAGAAAAATATTGTTGAATTGTGTATCCACAATATATTACACAGAGAACCTATTTATAGACACTATAATACAATCCTTTACCAAGTAGGATACTATTCCTATTCTAATTCTAAGTAGGATTGTATATACCTATTCCTATTCTAACACTCCCCTTAAGCTGGTGCATACAAATCATTTGTACCTAGCTTGTTACCGATGTAATTAATACGAGGAGTGGTGAAAGACTTGGTGAAGATATCGGTAAGTTGATTACTTGACTTCATAAATTTTGTAACAATATCTCTTGAGAGTATCTTTTCTTTGACAAAGTGATAATCAACAATGTTCTTAGTCCTTTCATGTAATACTGGATTTGATGCAATATGACGGACCACTTGATTATCACACACAAGTTCCATCTCACCGATTTCTCCAAATTTTAGTTCTCTTAGCAACTATTTGATCCAAACTAGCTCACAAATTATTACATCTATTGTTCGATATTCTGCTTCTGCACTAGATCAAGCAACCACAATCTGTTTTTTACTCTCCTATGACACTAAATTACCTCCTACTAAAACACAATATACAGATGTAGAATGTCGATAAAAGGGTGATCCTGCCCAATCTATGTTTGTATATCCAGGGATATGTATTGCAGAACAATTGCCTCCGAATGACTATCACAAGGAAAGTCATAAACTGACTTACAACACTCACAGGAAAAGAGATGTCAGGTTTAGTCATTGTGAGATAATTCAAATTTCCAAATTCCAACTAGCCGTCTACCTTTCAGGATTACTGAGTGGCCCCCCTGTCTTGGAACGAGTTTGATATTCGAATCCGTATGAGTGTCAATGGGGCTACATCCCACCATTCTTGTCTCTTAAAGAGTGTTTGAGGCATACTTGCGTTGAGAAATAATAAAACATGATCTAGACTGAGTAACCTCGATACCTGGAAAATATTTCAATCTGCTGAGGTCTAGTCTTGAAATGCTGAAAGAGATGTTGCTTCAAATTAGTAATATCATCTTGATCATTGCCGGTGATAATGATATCATCAACGTAAACAATCAAATAAATACACAGATTTCGTGCAGAATGCTGATAAAATAGAAATTAATCAGCTCCACTATGAGTGATGCCAAACTGCTGAATTATTGTGCTTAACTTCCCAAACCAAGCTCGAGGAGACCGTGTCAGACCATAGAGAACATTGTTTCAAAATGTTTAGTGGTAACATTGTTTGTGGTTACAATTAGTTAGCAATTTTTAGGATATAAAGGTATATTGTGACTGGAACTCTGTTTTAAGCATGATATATCAGAAAATTCTTGTTACCTATCAAAACAAAATGAAAAAATATTCATGTTGTCAACCTAGCCAACCCAAACTTGTTGGGACTGAGGCATTTTTATTGTTTGTCAATCTACCCCTTCCTCTCAAGGGTGTGTCTTGGGTCTCTTTTCGATGTTGCTTACGGTCATATTTTCTGAAAGCCTGATTGCTTCCTCTAAAATTTTATTGAACTACTTTTGTATTTTACCTAATTTCTCCTTTTGCAGTGGTTTGGAGATGCTGAAAAGCTTACCAAGGCACTCTTCTCATTTGCCAGTAAGCTGGCTCCTGTAATAATTTTTGTTGATGAGGTAAACTCCTATTTCATGTGATACCACTTTTTCTCATTATGCTTAAACATCATTTTCATAAACAGGATGTTCGTCTCATCTTCTTGACAGAATCCTAGTGTGCTTGATCCTGATTTGTTCTCTGTGTCAGCATTAAGTTACTGATGTATTTTGAACTCTAAGAATTGTACGCTGACTGCCTCTAATTATGGGAACAATGGACTCACATTTGATTATTTATAGTTCAAAAACTACATGAGGGTCTAATGGTGAACATTTCTTATGTGAAACCAGTTGTATCAATATAACCATTACTTGGTCAGCTTTGCTGTTGATCATTCTATAAAGCAACTGTCTAAAACTTTCAGTGCTGGTTCAACCATTGTACAGCTCAGACCAAAATGGTTTGGCACAAACTGCTCAGTTCACATGTGACGACAAAAATCCAGAAACCGCTTCTGCTGGTTTGGCACACTGTTACCCCTTAAAATTAAGATTCTTTCTCTGTTAGGTCTGGATCTCTTATGCCAGAGTTGCTTTATTTCAGTCAAAATCAAAGCTTCTACTAGAGGTTTTGCAGCAGAAAGCATGACTGGCTTTGTGCTTGGATTTGATGAAACATTCCTGATCATATGAACACTCTTTAAATGCAAGATATAAGTAATCTAAACAATGCAAGTACATGGTGAAATTTTTTAATCTTAGCATAGCATTAATGCTCGGCTGAAGCACGTAGTCGGCATGTTTTTTCCTCTCTTAAAACTGGATCATACTTCTCAACATAAGATGTTTTAGGTGTGTTTTCTTCATCTGTTATTGTTGTGTTGGATCAAAACAGGTTGATAGCTTACTTGGTGCTCGTGGTGGTTCATTTGAGCACGAGGCAACTAGAAGGATGCGGAATGAGTTTATGGCTGCATGGGATGGTTTGAGATCAAAGGAGAACCAGAAGATCCTTATACTTGGTGCAACAAATCGTCCCTTTGATCTTGATGATGCTGTTATTCGCCGTTTACCTAGGAGGTATCTTTTTGTTATATTTACAAATGGTAACTCAAACTTCCTAGCCACAAATTCATATTGCTTCCTCATTAATCTGGTGCTTCACTAATACCATATGCATCTAGTATGGATATCTTTCCAAGAATGGACTCATGTCAAATTTGAACAGGATAAAACCATAGATAGGCTTTAGACGTAAAGCTGCTGATAATTATGGGGTTATATTTCAGGATATATGTGGACCTACCAGATGCAGCAAATCGCTTAAAGATACTAAAGATAATTCTTGCTCGGGAAAATTTGGAGTCGGAATTCCCCTATGAGAATCTTGCAAATGCAACTGATGGTTATTCTGGCAGTGATTTGAAGGTAATAGATTATCATGTCAAACTATTATATGCTGGCATATTTTTAATTTGTGTCTTGTTCATTACCAAATTTTTTTGCTCTGGCATCATCTACAGAACCTGTGCATTGCGGCAGCTTATAGACCTGTTCAAGAGATACTAGAAGAAGAGAAGGAGGTAAGTCCAGTCTGTAATTGGTGATAATATCTAGCACTTTTTCAAGGGCTGTTTATTCTGTCATGGAAATGAGCCCATATTAGGATAGCCATGTATGAGTTTTATGATGCTGCATGAAAGCTACTGTAGTTATTGTTGGTCTTAAATTTGGTGTTAATTGTTTCATCCTCTTCGAACCTTCAACTTTGATCTCTCATAGTGGTGCCGGAAAGTTCTCTCCAAATCTTTGCCTGTATAACGGTGAATATTCTGCTCAACTTTGGCAATTAAATCATGTTATGTGTTGAACACTGTTATGTCCTTTTTCCAAACCACGTATTTGAGGAGCCTACTCCTGCAGTGCATTGTTCACATCCTGCATGGACCTGAATAAATAATGGATGATTAAGTTTGGGCCAGCGTATTTTAGGTGGCCATTCCACATGGCCTTATTATTCTCCTTTGTATGTGTTTGTTCTTGTCAAAAAAATTATTTTTCTAAATGAAACTTTTCCACGGAGATGTATTATGCCATTTACTTTTTTAACCAATGGTGAAAAATTGTTGTCATGCTTCTTCTAATACCTTCCCTATTTCTTTTCTCAGCCTGAATCACTGGGAAGTAGAAAAGATGGAATTCCAGTGTTAAGACCTCTCACTGTAGACGATTTCATTCAGTCAAAAGCGAAGGTAAATGATCTTAACTGGGAATACTAACTGAAGGGCCTGAAATTAAATTTGTAAAGCTAGATTTCAATACGTTCCTCGATAAAGTAGGAGGAAGTGTCAATATTTTGTGCAAAGTGCTATTAACAGATGTGGCTCATATAACATTGTGCAAGCATTGTATCTACTGATCTTATACATTACCTCTCTGTACCCATCACGGATTTTAACAGTTGGTTGTTAGCACAGCGATAAGTCCATGAAGGTGTCCTTAAGGTTTTCTAAAACTGTTTCATGTTCACAATACTCAGGTGGGGCCATCAGTCGCATATGATGCCGCAAGCATGAATGAGCTGAGAAAATGGAATGATCAATACGGCGAAGGTGGAAGTAGGAGAAAGTCTCCATTTGGCTTTTGAGTCCAATATTAACAGGCGAAGGAGGTAGTAAGCGAGTCCACCATTTGGCTTGCGACTCTAAATTAACAGAGTACGTTGTCGTTAGAATTGTTTTTTTTAGGTAGAAACATGAATGTATAATTTTTTTTGGAAGGTTTATATTTTTTCTTTACCCCAAATGTTCCAATGAGTGGCTTAACTTGTTAAGGTTTGTTAAGTAATCAAGTAACAAAGCAGGCAGAGATAGGTTTAGGAACAGAGCTATAGAAGAAACAGACTTTAGAATGCCAGTGTGTACTAATATAAAGTTCAATTTTGTAGTTCTTGCTCTGTTACAAGGAAAAAAAAAAATGAAATGTCGAACATCAAAAATAATTTTTTTCTGCTGTAATTTAATGAAACCTTAATTTCTATTTGTTAGATGAAGCTGTGGAACTTGCATTTTCTTTTACTTTTTTTTTCAATCTTACTTGCATTTTCTTTTTTTGCTTGTCAACTCTTAGTGTTATTTATTTTAATAGAACGAAACTTTGAAACTCACCACGGTATATATATATATTTGACGGAAAATTAAAAAATATGTTAGAAAAATTTAAATTTAATTTTTTTTTGGATGAATTCGAAGAAATTGAAAATTGTGAAACTAATAAATAAATAAATTGTACTCTCACCAACAAAGGAAAATTTATATAATCAACCAATTGAGCTACTAAAATTCAATCGGTATTATTTATTACACTTAAATCCATAATTTAATTTTAATTTTTAAAATTTTAGTCATTAATTTATTTTTTTGAGATTTTCAGTTTTAATCACTCAATTCTTATCAAATATGTTTTATTTTGTTATTCTATAACCACTTAATGTATTTGAATGCTTTATATTAATAATAATGTATTAATGATATCTAGCACTCAGTTGTATTTTCTTTTCCATATTTGTTAAATTATCTACTTTTGTGGCATGTATCAATAATTATTGCCAATATTAATTTTTTGTTTCTTATTCAAGATTTTCTTTTTAAATTTTCTTTATGTCTAGTGTCTTAAAATGTGAAACGAAACTTTTATATTTTTCTTTTTGTGTGTTACAAGTATTAATAGAAAAAAAAGTCAATCAAATGAATTTGTGAAAGCAAAGATAATAGTAGTATGCATATATATTTTTGCACTAAGAGTTAAGACTTAAAAAAAATAATATAGAAACATTGATTAAAAAAGGGTGCAAAGATAAAATAGAAAAGGGAGTTTGCAAAGAAAAAAAAGACAGATAAAGAAAAGACTAAAATTTGAGAAAATGAAATTGTGAGAGAGTGTGACAACAAGAAAAGGGCCTCACAAAAACACTTGTCAAAAGGAAATGGTGCCCTCATACAACTATTGTTGATTGTGCCTCAACCATCATAAATTGGAACTTACAAAAGCATAATTTTTTTGTGAATTAGTTCTTGAAGAGGTTTTCTCTCACAACAGATTTCTTTATTTGCTCATTTTCCTTTTCGTTAGGTTGCATTTTTTTTTTCTTCCATTTTTCTGTTCGAAGCTACAAATGGAATTTAAATGTTCGAATGTAATGCCATAAAATAGATTGGCAAATCACCACATGGAATGGTGCATTTGTAAAAGGGAAAAGGGTCATATTTGTCCTTGTACTCTCCGAAAAGGTTTCAGGGTCATATTTGCCCTTCGTTATACTTTTTTGATATATTTACCCTTGTCATCTAACATTAAGACCACATTTACCCTCCATCCGTTAAATCCTCCAATCTTCTAACCAAAATAAACCCAACTTGCTTCCTGCTTAAATTTTCTCTACACAGGCGTTTCTTCTATACAAACAAACAGAAAAAATTATGTATCTCCACTTTCATATCAGGCAACAATCAGATTAAAAACAAAAATAGATTTTAACATTCAATCCAACATCTTTTGTTAAGTATATTAGAGCCAATTTTCATCTTTAATCTCGACACACAAAATTCGTTAAGCATTTTATTCAAAAATAGATGTAGTTTTTGGTTGAGAACATATGGGCAAACTTGGGCAATTAGAGAGAACAGAATTCAAAGTCTATAGTAGTGGAATAAGGATGAATATGGGCAGTGGAAATAATGTGTTATCACAGACACGGAGGAACTGCTTGCTGGCTAGATCCCAATTTAACCAATAGTTGGGAATGATGATGCAAGTAACCAGAGAAGGGGGTATAGAGGGGGCCTAACTGATTTGGGTAGCTTAGTGCTTCAGATCAGCTTCTAAGAAAACTCGCTTGGGCTTGACAATACGAGGTGATTTGATCCGTTGCCCGGTGATCTCTGAGCTATCATACACAGCCTGATATGTTTTCTAATCCTCTCAGATTTTCCAAATCAATCAATAAAAGCTCTGCCAATATTCACTCCTCTGCTCAACTCCACTGACCCATCTCACGAAGCCACCAGAAAACATAAATGGAAATCCACGGTAGTCTGGACACTCAACGACCTGCTTTTAGGTTTATTTTGGTAGTGGATTGGGCTTAATCGTGTGGGGCGGGTTAAAATGATTTGAATAGAGATTAGATTTAATTAGGAAAAAATAAAATTCACCTAGGCACCACATAGGTAATTTTATGTGGGAACATGGGGATTTAACGGACAAAGGGTAAATATGACCTTAATCAAATTTAAAGATGCATGATGGCACACGAATCAATTGTATGAGAAGTAGGGTTAGAAGTCCCATTAGAGTTTTCTATACACTTAATTATTAAAAGGCTTACAATATTTCCTCTTTGGAAATTTGGCATGACACATCAATGTAAAATTTCTATTTTGGTCACCCAATTTAAGAGTATACATCAAATTCTTCTGAATTTGGCAGCAAAATTTACTTAAGTACCTTAACTATATGAACGTTTAAATATCTTTCTTAACAACTTTTACGTGAATTAAATATCACTCTAAGGGGTGATGTGGCAAAGTGAGTGCACTCACTCTCCTAAAAGCGCGTAAAGAAATTTAAAAAACAAACTAAATTTATAAAATCACACACATGTAATTTTTTATAGGTCAATGTGTAATTAATATTGTAAATATTGTTTTCTTGATATTTTTTTTTTTTTTAGAATATGTGAATTATCTTTATTGGCCCAAAAAATTTTAATCTCCTTTTTTGAAATAGTATACATTGAGGAAGTACTCTATAACAATCTATTGTATATGTCTTCAAATTGAATGTTTATGTATTATGTATGCGCAATTGAAAGTATGTATTTATTTTTGAATTAATTTTTAATTGAATTTGTATACATATGTTAACATTAATATTCATTGATTTGTATTCACCTAATAAATTGACAAACATTTATATTTAATACCTTGATTCATATTCACCTAATAAGCTCCGCTAATAAATTCACCTAACAAATTTATATACATTTATTTGTATTGTTATTCATTGTTTCGTATTTACATGATAAATAAGCATATATTGGTCCTTATTTACCTAATAAGTTACTATACATTTGATTTGTATTCACCCAATAAATTGTATACATATGAAAAAAAATTCAATGGTAGAATTAAAAATAATAATATTTTAACTAATACTTATTGAAAATAGAATAGGAACAAAAAAAAAAAACACCTAATTTTAGGGAAACAAGATAATCGAATCCCTACTTTTAAGGGTATCTAGTAACTAAATAAGAAAAAAAAATGAAACAATTGAATTAATAATAATAGGAATATCTAGCAACAATATAAAAAAAATGGATCCCTTATTTTAGGGATAAAATAACGTCAAATAAGGAGGAAAAAAAATTTCTCTCTCCCCTATTTTTTTTCAAGAAAAATAAACGGATAGAGAGTTTGGCTAGTTAGTGCCAATTTTTTTAGGCTTAAAATTTGTTAAATACTTTTGGGATAAAAATAATGAATTTTATTCCAGACTTGTACCTTTGTGTCAATTTCTTTTTTTTTTTCTGTCTTTTTATTTTGTTGTCTTCCCCAATATAACTACTTATCCAATAATTAGTAATCCACAAAACACAACACTAACATTTTATTATTGACGTCAATTTCACAAATATAAATTTTCTTAAATTTTGAGTGACTTAATTTGATTTTTTAATTCCCACAAGGCAGTTTGAAGAGGTAGGGGGAGATGACAGAGATTCAAAGAAAATAAGGTGGCATTGTAGTAGTTCTTTTCTAAAATTATTTAAATTTTTCTTGAATTTTTTGAATGACCCAATTTCACAAGACAGATTCGAGGGTGAGGGGAGGAATTCTGAAGGAAATTATTTTATTTATAAGATAAAACTTCTCGAATCTTAATTCAAGTTCTTTTTTTTTCTCTATATGTTTATGTATAATAAAAAATAACTAGCAACATCCATATTTATAAAAGTAAGAAGTCAAATTAAACTAAGATTAGAAACTTATTCCTATATGAACTAAACAAATTCTAACTAGATATTACTTAAATAAATACAAAAAATAAGAAATCCTAAACAACTTAGGAATCTTACTCCAACTTTGAGTTATAATTTCAACATTCTCTCATAATTCAAAGTTGTACACTCTTATTTTTTTCTTCTTGTCATTGTTGGTGTATTGTAACACTTTTCTTCAATCTTCAATTTAATCTTGTCGCCATTGTTGTTTTTGAAAACTTCTCTTCAATCTTTAAATTTATGAAGTTCTTCTCTTTAATTCTCATTTATTTGACACACTTTCTCTCCAACTTTGAAGTGTCAAAGCACTTTCTCTCAAACTCACAATATTTTTTCTCTTGATTGTGTTGGAGCACTTCTCTACAACTTTCATGTGTGGGAGCACTTCTCTGCAACTCACAATATTTTTTCTCTTGGTTGTGTTGGAGCACTTCTCTCCAACTTCCAAGTGTTGAATCATTTTCTCTCCAACTCACGATATTTTTTCTCTTGATTGCGTTGAAACACTTCTCTCCAACTTTCAATTATTAGAACACTTTATCTCCTATGATTCTTACCAAATTCATCAATGGATCCTTTTTCATCAATTGAGTCCCAAAGAAACCTCAATTCATCTCGTAGATTCTTACCAAATTCTAGGGTTTCATGTTTATGTTATGGATTTTCTTGATGTAAGTATTTTTCAGCATAATTGATCTATTTATGCATGATTTGATCATAATTACATGTTTTCAAGATATTTCACATGAACACATGCTATATGAATATGTTCACTATGAGCTAAGATTTGGGATTTTGCATGCATTATGAATTTGAAGAGATTATGATTTAAGGATACTTTCGAATAAAGTGGCAACATGATTTATGAAATTAGGTTGCTTCCGATTGAAGTATTCTCATTACGTTTAGATGCTTTCGATTAAGGGCCTCTTATACAATTATTATGTTATGAAATCATGATATTTTGAAGGAGCAA